TAGCCTACTAAGCGACATATCGGCCTGGATGTCACTCCACTTCCTCAAACTCAACCTCTCCAAAACTGAGCTCCTAGTATTCCCCCCAGCCCGTGCCCCCCCCCCCCGACTTCACCATAACTATCGCTAACACCATCCTCAGTCCATTCCCTCGCGCCAGGGTACTAGGTATAATCCTAGAGTCCCATCTGTCCTTCCAGCCCCAGATCCAATCACTGACAAAATCATGTAGACTTCACCTCCGCAACATCTCCAAGATACGTCCGTTCCTAACCCCGGAAACCACTAAGCAACTTATTCACTCCCTTGTTATATCTCGCCTTGACTACTGTAACTCCCTCCTCATTGGCCGACCTCATCGCAGGCTATCCCCTCTTCAGTCTATCATGAATGCTGCTGCCAGACTCATCCACCTTACTAACCGTTCTGCATCTGCCTCCCCTCTCTGCCAATCCCTCCACTGGCCTCCACTCAGTGTCCTCCACCCCTCTCTGCCAATCCCTCCACTGGCCTCCACTCAGTGTCCACCACCCCTCTCTGCCAATCCCTCCACTGGCCTCCACTCAGTGCCCTCCACCCCTCTCTGCCAATCCCTCCACTGGCTTCCACTCAGTGTCCTCCACTCCCTCTCTGCCAATCCCTCCACTGGCCTCCACTCAGTGTCCTCCACCCCTCTCTGCCAATCCTTCCACTGGCCTCCACCCAGTGTCCGCCACCCCTCTCTGCCAATCCCTCCACTGGCCTCCACTCAGTGTCCTTCACCCCTCTCTGCCAATCCCTCCACTGGCCTCCACTCAGTGTCCTCCACCCCTCTATGCCAATCCCTCCACGGGCCTCCACTCAGTGTCCTCCACCCCTCTCCGCCAATCCCTCCACTGGCCTCCGCTCAGTGTCCTCCACCCCTCTCCGCCAATCCCTCCACTCCTCCGCTCAGTGTCCTCCACCCCTCTCTGCCAATCCCTCCACTGGCCTCCACTCAGTGTCCTCCACCCCTCTATGCCAATCCCTCCACGGGCCTCCACTCAGTGTCCTCCACCCCTCTCCGCCAATCCCTCCACTGGCCTCCGCTCAGTGTCCTCCACCCCTCTCCGCCAATCCCTCCACTCAGTGTCCTCCACCCCTCTCTGCCAATCCCTCCACTGGCCTCCACTCAGTGTCCTCCATCCCTCTCCGCCAATCCCTCCACTGGCCTCCACTCAGTGTCCTCCACCCCTCTCTGCCAATCCCTCCACTGCCCTCCACTCAGTGTCCCCCACCCCCTCTCTGCCAATCCCTCCACTGGCCTCAGCTCAATGTCCTCCACTCCTCTCTGCCAATCCCTCCACTGGCCTCCAGTCAGTGTCCTCCACCCCTCTCTGCCAATCCCTCCACTGGCCTCCACTCAGTGTCCTCCACCCCTCTCTGCCAATCCCTCCACTGGCCTCAGCTCAATGTCCTCCACCCCTCTCTGCCAATCCCTCCACTGGCTCCCAGTTGCCGAACGGATAAAATTCAAAACTCTAACAATGACATATAAAGCCATCCACAACACCGCCCCAATTTACATATCCGATCTTAAACACTAAATATCACCCAAACCGTACACTCCGCTCCTCGCAGGACCTCTTACTCTCTAGCTCTCTTATCTCCTTCTCCCTTGCTTGTCTCCAAGACTTCTCCAGGGCGTCACCCATCCTCTGGAACTCCCTACCCCAATCTATCAGATTATCACCTACTCTACTTGCCTTTCGGCAATCACTGAAAACCTTTCTCTTCAGGGAAGCCTATCCCACCCTCTGCTAGTTCTGGTATCCTCTACTCTTCCAACCACTCCATCCCCCACAGTGACTACCTACTGTACCACTCACCCCGCCCTCCTAGATTGTAAGCTCCAAGGATCAGGGCCCTCTAATCCCTCTTGTACTGAACTGTATTGTTGCTGTATTGTCTCCCACTATAATGTAAAGCGCTGAGCAAACCGTTGGCGCCATAAATCCTGTATAATAATAATAATCCCTACCCTACCTTACTACAGTCATGGGAATATAGGCTTCTCACGATTAAATGCTGAAGAGATTGCCGGAAGCTGCGGCTCTAAAGCGGAGGGGAGGTAGAAGTCATGGACCTCTCGCAGGGAACTGAGGGTCTCCTAAGGTTCCTGGAAGGAAGATCTTGAAGCATCTAGTAAGCCCACAAAAAGAATTCAGAAGTGTTGCTTGTTGCCACATGGAAACTGTCAAATCACTAGAAGAGTAACTCTTCAAGAAGCAACGGAGCTGAACATCAAGTAAAAGCTTTAAACATTTAGGAGACAAAACAGAAACGAGAATCTTGTCAATGACAGCAATCTGAATGGCCATCCCTGCAGTGTGTAGGAAACACGAGTTGTGGTCTTCAGGTAAAATGACCTGGGAGTCCAGAACTAGAAGGCCGTCCAGTGAAAAGCGTGAGTGACAACCACTTTGTTCCTCATCCATCTCACAGCGGGTGACACCAGAGGTTCTCCTCTCCGGAGGCGTATTGCGCAGACAGACATATTCTCCAGTTTCTGCACGCGTCCCGGTGACAAGTGTGAGACAAATAGATCCGGACTTCAATAAGGATTAGATGCAAATCAGGGAAATGATCAGGGAAGAGTGCAGGTAGGTCTACCACATTGAGAATGCACAGCCACCATCACAGCTGACTGTTCAGATAAAGGAGAACTCGGGGAAAAAAAAGGTCGCGGTCTCCACATGTGGGTGGAAAGCTGAGAAGAAAACCGATCCGACACAACTTTGTATCAAGAATGAAGCGAACGGCAGAAATGATATCTCCATAACAAGTATGCCGCGGTCTTCGGGTCGGCTTACGAATGTCAATATTTCCTCTTCTTATTACAGCTCCTCACAGAAAGCCGTACCGTTCCGGAGCAGCACATTTTATGGTCCTGAGACTCATGTGCGTTGATGTGCGTTTAACCCTTTTGCTGCTAGAGCCGTTTTTACGATTTTTTTCATACATGTTTACCCCACTTCCAGCCCGGATTTCCCCCCCTTCCAGCCCGGGACACTTTCCCCCCCCTTCCAGTCCGGACACTTTTCCCCCCCTTCCAGTCCGGACACTTTTCCCCCCCTTCCAGTCCGGACACTTTCCCCCCCCCTTCCAGTCCGGACTCTTTTCCCCCCTTCCAGTCCGGACACGCTTTCCCCCCCCCCTTCCAGTCCGGACTCTTTTCCCCCCTTCCAGTTTGGACACTTTCCTCCCCCCCCTTCCAGGGACACTTTCCCCCCTTCCAGTCCGGACACTTTCCCCCCCTTCCAGTCCGGTCTGGACATTTTCCCCCCCTTCCAGTCCGGACACTTTCCCCCCCTTCCAGTCCGGACACTTTCCCCCCCCCCCTTCCAGCCCGGACACTTTCCCCCCCCCTTCCAGTCTGGACATTTTCCCCCCCTTCCAGTCCGGACACTTTCACCCCCCTTCCAGTCCAGACACTTTCCCCCCCTTCCAGTCCAGACACTTTCCCCCCTTCCAGTCCAGACACTTTCCCCCCCTTCCAGTCCGGACACTTTCCCCCCCTTCCAGTCCGGACACTTTCCCCCCCTTCCAGTCCGGACACTTTCCCCCCCTTCCAGTCCGGACACTTTCACCCCCTTCCAGTCCGGACACTTCCCCCCCCCTTCCAGTCCGGACACTTTCACCCCCCTTCCAGTCCGGACACTTTCCCCCCCTTCCAGTCCGGACATTTTCCCCCCCTTCCAGTCCGGACACTTCCCCCCCTTCCAGTCCGGACACTTCCCCCCCTTCCAGTCCGAACACTTTCACCCCCTTCCAGTCCCCCTTTCCCCTTCTTCCAGTCCGGACACTTTCCCCCCCTTCCAGTCCGAACAGTCCGTCCGGACACTTTCCCCCCCTTCCAGTCCGGACACTTTCACACCCCCCTTCCAGTCTGGACACTTTCCCCTTTCCAGTCCGGACACTTTCCCCCCCTTCCTGTCCGGAGTTTCCGGGTCCGGACACTTTCACCCCCTTCCAGTCCGGACACTTTCACCCCCTTCCAGTCCGGACACTTTCACCCCCTTCCAGTCCACCACTTTCACCCCCTTCCAGTCCGGACACTTTCACCACCCCCACTTCCTGTTCCGTTCCGGACACTTCCAGTCACACCCCCTCTTCCAGTCCGGACACTTTCCCCCTTCCAGTTCCTTTCACCCACCTTCCGGACACTTTCACCCCCTTCCAGTCCGGACACTTTCACCCCCTTCCAGTCTGGACACTTTCCCCCCCTTCCAGTCCGGACACTTTCACCCCCTTCCAGTCCAGGCCAATGTTCAGCTTTCAGCGCTATCACACTTCAAATGACAATTGCGCGGTCATGCAACACTGTACCCATATGAATTTTTTAGCATTTTCTTGAGACCGATAAAGCTTTATTTTGGTGGTATTTATTTATCACTGGGATTTTTATTTTTTTTTTTCTATGTAAATGAAAAAGTCCAAAAAATTTGAAAAAAAGTGTTTTTCTAATAAAATTTTGCAAATAAAAAGTATTTCATCATAAATCTTGTCCAAAATTTATTCTGTTATCTTTTTAGTAAAAAAAAATAACCCAAATTAGTTTATAACCAAAAATTATAATTTTTAAACTTTTTTTTCATATATTATTTATTTATTTTTACATACTGTCACCCTAGCAGTACAGGGTCACCATAGTGACACTGTACTACTTGTGGGGGGTGATGAAGAGTTTTTTTTTTTTTTTTTACACTGATTGCTTTTACACCCATAAAAGCAATAATTTCTCTTTCTCTCTGTCTGCATTCTTGCAGCCACTGAGAACTACTGAGTGAGCTGTGATTGGTCACAGCCTGTCACATGGTACAAGGCTGTTGTGAATGGCCCTGTACCATGTGACCTCTGTGATCATTCACAGATTTCACAAGTAGTAAGCAATGATGTCACAAGTGACATCTTGCTTACTACTCTGCATGTGATCACTGATTGGCCAATCAGTGATCACATGATCAGGACCTCGCACAGAGGTCCCGTCCGAGGCTCGGTGTTCCACTGTGTCCGGGAGGCTGTTTATAAATGGTCATCCGACCCTGCACTGCCACCGTCTGGCCGTTTATATACAACGGCCGGACGGGAAGTGGTTAACCTCCCTAGCGGTCTGATTATATCAGTATTTCTGTGCTCAAAGCGGTACTTTTTTTGCATGGAAATATGTTGTTTTTATATTGTAGGCTGTAATTTTTAGGAATAACTCACTGAAATCTGTCCGAGCAAGAGTCTAGTAAACATCCCGGGGAGGATAAAACTTAAAACATGAAATCATAAATTATAATTTAATAAATGATCATAAAAAATAATAATATAATAATAATAAATGTAATTCAATAATATAATCAAACCAAAAACACTGAAATGTGAAATAGTAGCGCCAAGTTCGCACATCGCTGAGCAAAGTCGCAGAATCGTTTTCAGTGTCTGATGAGAATTTCCCCCACGACGAATCATTATCACTCAATTCTGCAAGTGGTTCTGATTTACTATCGCTGTTCTCTAGCCGGTCTAAAACCGCGTCTGACCTAAAGGGACGCTTTTTGGACGCCATGGACGTTTCTCAGTTTCCAGGCAGAAAGAACAGTAAAAATGCAGGCAGGGCGCGGACAAAGCACTCGGGACAAAATGTATGTGAAATGGTTTGATACAGGAATGTTATACTCTGTGATTTTAGTGAATGTCACTTGTAAAATGTTTGAATTTCCCGCCAGTTCTGTTCCCCCGTACGTCCCGACGTCGCAGGGAACGGAACCCGGAAGACGGATGCCGGCATCAGCCGGAGGACATTGCCAGGGACACTGCAGGGGGGACATCGCGGGAGCGCAGGACAAGGTAAGTGCTGGAGGGATCCCGGAGCAACGCTGCAGTGTATTCCCGAGTGTAGCTCGGGGGGGTTACTGCTTGTGGTGCTGAAACTTTACCCCGAGCTACACTCAGGAATACCTCCAGGGGGGTTAATAAGATATTTCAGACCTGAAGATCACCTAAGCCCCTCAAACATATATTTTCTGAAAGCAGAGATCCTGGAGAATAAAATGGTGGTAGCTTCTGATTTTTTTATGTCCCATGATATTTGTGTACCAGAAATGAAATAAAAATGAAAGAGATATGAAAGGCTTAATACTTACCTGCTCTCTGCGGTGGTTTTGCACAGAGCAGCCCGGATCCTCCTCTTCTTGGGTCCCCCGTCGGCACTCCTGGTCCCTCCCTCCTGTCGGGTGCCACCAGCAGCATTTACCCCATTTTTTTGCGATACGGCACTGCTTACTTACTAACTGACAATTGCGCGGTCATGCAACCTGCAAAATGAAATTTACGTCCTTTTTTTCATACAAATAGAGCGTTCTTTCGGTGATATTTTATCGTCCTGTGCGTTTTTAATTTGTTGCGCTATAAACAAAACAAGACCGACAATTTTGAAAAAAAAAATTATTGACTTTTTGCTATTAAACATATCCAGTGAAAAATTTTAAAAATCGAATTTCGTCATAATATTAGGCCAAAATGTATTTGATAAAAAAAATGTCAATACGTGTAAATTAATTGGTTTACGTGAAAGTTATAGCGTCTACAAATGGCGGTATATAATGGGATCTGTTTTTGAGGGAGGGGTCTATTGTTGTTGTCTGTCAGGATCCAGTGATGCTGGCTGCTGAGAGATATTTTGTTTCTGGGGGGTCTATTGTTGCTGGTAAGGGATCAATTGTTGTTGGAAGGGGTCTTTTGTTGGGGGGGGTCAATTGTTGCCGGGAGGGATCTGTTGTTGAGGGAGGGGTCTATTGTTGTTGGCTGCTACAGGATCCAGTGATGCTGGCTGTTGGGAGATCTTTTGTTTCTGGAAGGTCTATTGTTGCTGGTAGGGGATCAACTGTTGCTGGGAGGGGTATTTTTTTGGGTGAGGTCAATTGTTGCTGGGAGGGATCTGTTGTTGAGGGAGGGGTCTATTGTTGTTGGCTGCTACAGGATCCAGTGATGCTGGCTGCTAAGAGATCTTTTTTTTCTGGGGCATCTATTGTTGCTGGTAGGGGATCAACTGTTGCTGGAAGGGGTCTTTTGTTGGGGGTGGGTCAATTGTTGTTGAGGGAGGGGTCTATTGTTGGCTGCTACACGATCCAGTGATGCTGGCTGCTGGGAGATCATTTGTTTCTGGGGTGTCTATTGTTGCTGGTATAGGATCAACTGTTGCTGGGAGGGGTATTCTGTTTGGGGGGGTAAATTGTTGCTGAGAAGGATCTGTTGAGGGAGGAGGTCTGTTGTTTCTTGGCTGCTACAGAATCCAGTGATGCTGGCTGCTGGGAGATCTTTTGTTTCTGGGGCGTATATTGTTGCTGGTAGGGGATCAACTGTTGCTGGGAGGGGTCTTTTGTTGGGGGGGGGGGGGGTCAATTGTTTGCTGGGAAGAATCTGTTGTTGAGGGAGGGGTCTATTGTTCTTGGCTGCTACAGAATTCAGTGATGCTGGCTGCTGGGAGATGTTTTGTTTCTGGGGCGTCTATTGTTGCTGCTAGGGGATCAACTGTTGCTGGGGGTGGTACTTTTGTTGGGGGGATCACTTGTTGCTGGGACGGGTCTTTTGTTTGGGGGGGGTCAATTGTTGCTGGGAGGGATCTGTTGTTGAGGGAGGGGTCTATTGTTGTTGGCTGCTACAGGATCTAGTGATGCTGGCTGCTGGGAGATCTTTTGTTGCTGGCAGGGGTCTGTTGCTGCTACTGTGGATCTTTTGTTCCTGGGGGGTATTTTGTTGCAGGGGGGATCTATTTTACTGCTTTTTTTTTTCTTATCATTAACAAATACCATACAAATGACTTAGCGTCACAAAATGGTACTTGGTTCTGTATTCTCTGAAAGGGGTAATCCTGGGAGGTGGAGGACGGTGCTCGGAGCAGGGGCGGACTGACCATTCGAGCCCTCGGGCACTGTCCGAGGGCCCGGGGTCAGTAGGGGGCCCCATGAAATGCCCCTGGTACCTTTTATAGGCTTTTTTTGGGTGTGGGCAAGGACACAGGGGCCCCATGATTCCCTATTGCCCGGGGGCCCCATGAGTTGTCAGTCCGCCCCTGGTTCGGAGGTGGGTAGGGGGGCAGAGACAAGGGGTGGTTTGGAAGCGGGGAGCACCTGCGCTTATTCTCTGAGAAAAAAAAAAAAGCCCCGACAATAAGACATATAAAAGAAAATGAAAGGCGCTAATTAGAGTTCTCATGACTAGTCGGCTCCTTGATTCCGTCTCCTTACCTGTTTGACAAAATGACAGGTGAATCGCGCTCTGTTGCTACGGTAACACCTATCCATCCTCCAGTCCACGGATTTCACGGAGGTGAGAAGGATGAACGCACAAAGTCACCTAATGAAATTAACATTGTAAGCTGCAATTTTGCTGCTTCATAAATTCCAATTATCAAGCATCCGAGATAGGTTGTCGAGGCCGGCATGGCTCTCCCACACGCCGGGGAGGCGCTACATCAACCGAAAGCATCATAACTAACGACAATTAGTAATAACAACATCATCAAATCCAAAACGTACAAAACAATACGGAGCTGACGCCTCATTCCGCCCTACGTCTTATTTCTAGACCAGGCGCCGGACATTTCCCTTTCGTTTCGGATGCATTTGTTCATCGAAAAATTTCGCTCCACCGTATTCGTTACGTTGAACCGATTCGTTTTCGGGAATTTGTTTCGTATCTTCGGCATTCGTTGCGTCTATTCGTTGTTCCAAAGAACAAAGGTATACCGCTCAGGCCAAACAATCCAGATCAATCCACGACAGGTGCAGGCACAGTCCAGATCAATCCACAATCCAGATCAATCCACAACAGGGGCAGGCACAGTCCAGATCAATCCACAATCCAGATCAATCCACAGTCCAGATCAATCCACAATCCAGATCAATCCACAACCAGGTGCAGGCACAGTCCAGATCAATCCACAATCAGGTGCAATCCACAGTCCAGATCAATCCACAATCCAGATCAATCCACAACAGGGGCAGGCACAGTCCAGATCAATCCACAATCCAGATCAATCCACAATCAGGGGCAATCACAGTCCAGATCAATCCACAATCCAGATCAATCCACAATCCAGATCAATCCACAACAGGTGCAGGCACAGTCCAGATCAATCCACAATCCAGATCAATCCACAACAGGTGCAGGCACAGTCCAGATCAATCCACAATCCAGATCAATCCACAATCCAGATCAATCCACAATCCAGATCAATCCACAACAGGTGCAGGCACAGTCCAGATCAATCCACAATCCAGATCAATCCACAATCCAGAAATCCACAATCCAGATCAATCCACAACAGGTGCAGGCAGATGATCAATCCACAAGTGTGTATAGATCAATCCATATCTAGGATCAATCCACAACAGGTGCAGGCACAGTCCAGAAATCCACAATCCAGACAATCCACAACAGGTTAACGCACAGTCCAGATCACAATCCACAATCGTGATCAATCCACAATCAAAGATCAATCCACAACAAAAGTGGCACAGTCCATGCAGGCCACAGACGGATAGATTTTCGACAGGTGCAGGCTCGGGCTCGTCACCACGTGCAATAGGAAGTGGGATCAGCCGCACACCGTTTTTCAGGATAGATGAATATAGTGTGTATTTATTGATCCATAGGACACACAACACCAGGACATGAATACAGGACTTGTTAACGCGTTTCAACACCATCTCGTGGCTTAATCATAACAAAGAAAACAACAAAAGTACCATCTTATGCAGGCCATGGACAAGTCTAAAATCAGCTGATTTTTCGAGCCGAAAAAAATAATCGGCCGATTTTCGCACCGTTGAAGGGTTAATTGGTCGGCTGTTTTTCGGGGAATTGGCACTTTTTTTTTTATCGGTAAAACTATCGTCCAATTTGCCCATCATTGAGGAAAATCGGCCAATCGGCAAAATCGAACCCGATTTTCCTGGCAATGATGGGCAAATTGGATGATAGTTTTACAGATAAAAAAATCTACGCAAAAGAAGAAAAGAGAAAGAAGAGAAAGAAAAGAAGAAAAAGAAGAAGAGGAAAAAGAAGAAAAAGAGTAAGAAGAGGAAAAAGAAGAAAAAGATGGAA